TGTGAAACTCCTTGGGGAAGGTACGGTTCTGCTACCCGAGTGCAATTAGTGCTTTACTGAGTCATCAGCAGTGAAGGGCTAGCGTAGCCAGCCAGTAATCTCCTGCTCATTTCTGAGAGTGGCTGTTTTATTTATATTTTATATAAATTATATATATTTACGTCTATAGCCATTTGTAACATGGGTGCCGTGCTAATGACGGTAAGAGAAGTAAGTACATGTCCTGGTCAGTTCAGACTGGAACGGGGATGCCGTTGGGTGTTCTTAAAGCTCCTGAGCATCTAAGTGCCAGCTTCCAGGCTGGAAAGAGAGGTTTTTTCTTCCCTGTCTGCCTGGGGCTGTCCCAATTTTGGTCTGGCCTTGCTGGTCCTGCACAGCCACTGTTGGTCTGCTCCAACTGAGGGATCCCAAAAAGGTGGCTGGTAATGGGGATGGTGTCTCTGGAATGGATGTGAGAGGTCTTTGCTTTTCTAGTCTAGTTTTTGGGGCCTCCTTTGAGGCAGTTTGTGGACCTTGGAGTCTTTAGAGACCACGGTGGACGAGGAATAGTCTTTTGCTTCTGGAAAGCCATCATTTCCATCTCCTTGCTCCTACCAGACAGCCCGCAGCCACCTCTTTCCCCAAGCACGTAGCAGTCATGGCAAGAGAATAAGAATAAAAAAAAAAAAAAAGAAAAGAAAGAAAACACACTCACAAAAATAAATAAATAAATAAATAAATAAATAAATAAATAGTGTTGTCCTGTGGCAGGAGAAGCGGTGGTGACACAACAACACTGCCACCTCCGCGGGACCAAATCCTGCCTCACCCGTGGGCGAGCAGCCTGCCGCGGGAGCCTTTAACAGCGTGCTGCAATTAAATGCAATTAATGGAGAGCGTCCTGCTCTCGTCCTGCCCTGTCCAGCCCTGCGGCCGTGGGCTGCTCCTGCCAGCCGTCGGATGCTGTTGGTGTGGTGGCAGGACGCCGAGGGACGTGCCGGGGACAGGGGGTGGCCGGGCGATGCTCCCCGCCCCTCGTGCCCTGCTTCGCTGAGGATTCGCCCCGGTGCCCAACTATTTTAATTGGCCTTCATGCAAAAAAGGAGAAGGGAAAAGCCTTCCTCTTCCTTCTGGAGTGGCCCAGCTCCCCTGGACGGGTTAGCACAGCCTATGCTGAGGCTTTGCTGCCTTCCCCACACCGCAGCAGCAGACACACGTCTGCCGCGGGTTTCCCCAGCCTGCCACGGGGGAGCTGCTAGCTGGGCATGCCATACCTGCTAACTAATACCAAAAACACACTGCTTTTGAACTTGGGAAGTGCTGGAGGAGCTGCAAAGGACCGCTTGGTGTAGCTGGGCTGTCAGTATGGAGGTGAGTGGCTGGGCTGGGGTCTGCACAGGATCCAGAGCAGGAGGGCAGCATGGTGTCCCCCTGCAGCTGGACGGGGACTCGATCACCGTACCCACCTCGCTGTCCCAAATACCACCTCTGGTGTTTGTGCAGGAGGGGAAGAGAAAGCAGGAACTGTTGTGGCGGGGCTGCATTTGTCAGCTGGAGGCTAATAATGGGAAATGTTTGGTGCTTAGAGCCTGCTCACCTTGGAGCTGGGGTGAAAACCCGCGGGAGCTGCGGGGCGCCCTGAGAAATGTGGATTGGCCTGGAGACATCTCAGATTGCAGCTCGCTGGCTGGGGAAGCTGGGCTGAAACTTGCAGCAAGCACTTCTGCAGCTGGAGGCTTCACAGCTGTGCTGGAGGAGGCTCCTGGTGCTTTTATTTCCCCTCCACTTCATTGTTGCAAGCTAGCAAATTAATTAGATGCAGTTTTCGGGGGGCTGTTGAGTTGGGTGTGAATAGTTGGTTGTGCACGCTTGGCAGAGAGGGTCTCCTGTATATTTTTGGCTGGAAGATAAAGGAGTGGTTAATGTGCTTGAGCCCAGGAGCGGATTCATTTAAAGGTCTGGTCCTGCAGGCAGAGCTGAGATCCTTGAGGGCCGTTTTCCTGCCGTTGTTCTCCCCTCAGTGCAATCCTCCTGGCTTCATTTGATCTGCGACCGGGAGAGGAAGCGGCGGCGGCACGTGCGGCTCGCACATGACTCACCGGAGCTGCTAACGCCGTAAACACGCACTCCGACAGCCCTGCCTGCTTATGGGCTCAGGGCTGGGGACAAACCCCGTCCCTGTGAGCAGAATTTGGGCTGCCAGGTCCTTGGGGTCACGCTCAGGGTCAAGCAGGAGCAGCCGCCGCAGGAACCCGCGTGGTGTGCTCCCCTTCGCCCAGACCAGCTCCGATCCCGGGGGCAGCCCTAAAATCATCCTCAGGCTTCTGGAAAGCTCTGCTTGCCAGCAGCCAGCTCACCATCCCTCCATCCCTTCCCCGCAGCCCTGCTCCGGTCGTCCCTGTGCTGCTCTGCTCGTGTTTCCCTGCCTCTGCGGCTGCTCCCGGCAGCGTCCGCGGTGGGCAGGACGCCGGCACGTACGCGCAGCGCCTGGCTGGCAGGCGGGGAAGCAGACAAAGGATTTTGGGGGCCGTGAGAACGCTGTGGGGGGGGTCCCCTCCTTCCCTTTCCTCCCCCCACTCATTCAGCAGCCGTGCCCGGCTCCCCGCAGCACAGCATCCCTCCCCGCTGAGCCTCGGGGATGGGAATGGTTTTGGGTTTGGGGCCGGTCCCCCCGGCGGCATGGCGGTGCCGCAGCCGTGCTGGTGGCTTTGTTCTCTCTCACACCGCCCTGCTGCCGTGGGAAGGGGCCGCCAGCGGGGGCTTTTAATGCCGAGGTCGCTGACCCGTCTCCATCCTACTGCCTGCGAGCACCCGGCACTCACGGGGACGGGGTTGATCCTGCACCCGGACGAGTGTTTTTTGGGGGGATACCGGCCAGCTGGCCACCGGAGGGTTGGGGAGGGTTGGAGCGTGTGCCGTGTCGGGCAGCGGGATGGTAGCCTGGCCGAGCGTATCCGTTTAATTGAACCATAAATCCTGCAGCAGACCAATAGTGCAGGACTTTATTAAAACCCCAGGGTGCTGCTTGCCCTCCCTCCCTGCTGTCGGAGCGCCGGCGGAGCACGCAGCATCTTTCTAGGAACCGGCTGAAGGAGGACACTGACGTGGCTTTTTCAGACACAAATTTGCGTTAGATGGGGTGAGAGATTTGATTTACCAAGTGGCAGCAGCCACTTCAAATCCAGGCTCCCGTTCCCGTGCTTTTTGCTTTCATCGTTTTGTTGACTGCGATGAGGTCTGTGCAGCCGGCCGGGCCGTCGCTCGTTATTCCTGCGGAAACTTTTTAACCCAGGGATTAATTCCAGCCAGATCGGACGGAGGAGCACAGGTCTCACAGATAAGGTCCTCCATGCTTTAAGGAAGAGGGTGGAAGAGGGAAATCCAAATTTCTTCCTGACCACAAGGAGAGGCTGCAGCAGCCGTGAGCTCAAATCCTGTCTGGGTGCAGGTGGGTCGGTTTGCTCGCTTATTCCTACAGGGGATTTGGGGTTGGTGTTGCTGCAGCCAACCCAAATACGTGCTGCTTCCAGTAGGGATGGGGGACAGAAGGTCCCAGAGGGGGCTCGGTGTGATGGGGCAGAGGGAAAGGTCTGGGTGTGCGTGGTGCAGGGAGCGTGGGTCACAAATCGGTTCAAAACTGGGCTGCCTGCGGGTGTCTGTGTTTTCCTGGGTGCCCCAAAACTCTGGGGCTGAGTCGGGGCTTGGTGGGATGCTGGCTTTCAGGAGTGCCTCAGGCAGTGCCCTGCAAGCCTTTCGTTAGGCAAATAATGCAAACTGAACAAAAGGAAGGAGCTGGCTGTGTGGGTGCTGCCAGGGACGGCGGCAATCCCGCACTGCAGGAGCAGTGGTGCTGGGGCTCGGTTTGTTGATGGCTCTGTAAGCCCTGCTGCCCCACGGGGTGTGCTTTGAGCCTCACGTCTGCCTGGACGCCTCTGTCCTGGTGCCTGTGTCTCCTTCTGGGCAGCTCAGGCTGGCCCCCAGCTCTGTTTTTTATGTGGAGGGTGAAGAAGGGGCCGGAGCTGTCAGCAATCCCTGGTCCCCGCTGTCAGGACACCTTGGTATGGCCTCTGATGGTCTGGGAGCACCTCGTGGCACCAAACCCAACAATAACACAAAAATCCACTCCAGAGAGTCCATATCCTTGAGGATGGCCCCAAATCTTTACATTCTGTAGGGTTTTCTTTGTTATCTCTCCTTGCATCACCTGGCACCCGAGGAGGCGGCGGGGAGGTGCTGCCACCGGCGCTGTGTGGGGCAGAAGTTTCGGGTCCCTGGTGGGACTGGAGGTGCAGGAAGGCATCTGGCCACGCTTCCCCGGCCCTGTTTGTGGTGCTGGTGAGGAAGGGGAGACCCGCTCAGGTAAATACGGGTGCACAGCCCTGGGGAGGGGATCACCCAGCGAGCAGCAGGAGCTGGGCCTGTGCCTCCAGGAGAGGCTCAGCTGGGAACTGATGGAGCATCCCCTCACAGCACCGTGCCAGAGGGGTTGAGCTGTGCCCTGGGTTTCCTTCTATTTGCCAACCTTTCTTACTGCCCGTGCGGCCACGCTGCTCTCCCAGGGCTTACTGGTTAGTGCTTGTGGCCTGCTACTGCCTGGAGGCTGCTGGAGGGTGTTTGCGGACTGGGGAATGGACAAAGTCTGTCCCAAAAAGCTTGGCTGGGCTCGCTGCCGTTTCCCAATGAGGTGGAGGTCCACGCTGATGGCCTTCTGGCATCACCGAGGGCCTGTGACCTTGTCTGTGTGTAGGGCTTGGAGCTGCTTCCAGCAGTGATTTGTGAGCACCCCGTTCCCAGCAGAGCCGGGGCGGATGCGCTGCCCTGCTGGTGACGGCTCCTCTGCCAGCCACAACCCGAGGCCTCTCCCCTTTCTGCCGTCACTACTGGCACTCTTTTTTTTTTTTTTTTCTGGGGATTCTGTTCCTTTTTTGTATCTCGGAGAAGTGTTTTCCTTACGCTCGCCTCTATTTAGGGCTCTGGGGGAGGAAGTGACTCAGCCTTTCCTCTGCTCCTGTTTGCACAGTCATCCCTCGCCGGCTCTCCGTGCGCACCTCGCGTTACGAGCGCTTCGTCCTCATCCAGCAGGAGCCTGCCCACTTCCCTGCCAGATATTTGGGTGGGGAAAGGCACGGCGGGGGCAGACGAGCCGCCGACAGGAGCCCCACGTGCCGGGCAGGGAGCAGCACCACACTCCTCAAGCAGGACACACCACCAGCCCTGCGGCGACAACTGGGGACCCGTGAGCGCGGAGATCTGCGGAGAGGCAGCCCCCAGTAAACCAGCAAGCTTTTGGGGTCTCGTTTAGCCCTGCTGGGGAAAATCAATGACATCTGACAGTGGGGATACAGCAGGGAGAGGAGAGAGAAGGTGACTCCCGTCGTGCTGGCAGCACGGCTGAAGGATGCCCTGGTCTCCTGGGCGCTGACGGGAGGGCTCTGCGAGGATGATGGATGGACGGCAGGACGGTGGGGCTCGGTCCGTGGAGGGCTGCTGCCAGCATGCCTTTCACGGCAGAGCTGAGCCGACTGCTAAACGCCGAGCAGGGATCGTCGCTGGCTCTCCGCTGGGCTTTCAGGTGCTGCTGCTCGGCGAGGGACTCGCTAAATCATCTACGCTCCGAGTGATGCCAGGCGCTTGGCGTGACATGCACTATATTAAAAAAAAAAAAAAGTGCCTTAGTTTCAGGTTAATTGTCCTCCTAGCCTGGACGCCAGCACAGCTGGCTGCAAAGTCACCTTTGCTTCTTTATAAAAGCAGACGGGGGGAGTCAACAAAAAAAGTCAACAAAAAATCTACCCAGAACCCTTCCTCTCCCCCTCCAAAACCCAAAACTCAGACTCAGGAAGCAGTTTTGACCTGCTTAGGAAATTCTGGCACGTGCCCATTATCTGTTGGCTTTATAAGGCTGTAGGAATCCGTGTTCTTAGGAGGAATAATTTATATGGTCCTTGCTGGGGGTGTTACCAGGACAGCAGCCCCGTGCCTTTGCCCATGGTCAGCTCCTGGGCTGCCTCTGGTTGGAGCGATGTCTTGTGTGTGTGTTGCTGGAGGTTGGTCACTGTTTTTTTGGTATTTTATGGCAATAGCACTTCCTAATCAATCCTTGCTCTTGGTATGTGTGTGGTGGAGTTTGGTCCTGCTCTGACAATGGTGAACTCCAAGTGTAATTTTAGGGTTTCACAGGCAGAGCATCAGTCAGTGCAGATACTCCTTGCATGCAGGCTGAGTGAAGCCCGTGTGCTGTGAGCAAGCATTGCTCAGGCAACCACAAGTTTTGAGCTTTTTTGTTGTGTTGTGATGCCTCAGCAGGCTCCAAGCATCTTATGTGCCTTTATGGGACCGTGTTGCACCAGGTGCCTGGGAAGAAAAGGAAGGTAAGGCCTTGGGTGCAAAAAGTGGAGGCCTCACATCGTGAGACTGGTGCAAGTGGACATCTAACATCTTGGTGGTACTGCAGGACTAAACCCAAATTCCTAAAAAAAAAAATAAATTAAATGAAAATAAAATAAAATACCAGGTGGTGAGTCCTCAGAGCAATCAGGCAGTGCAGTCTGTTGGCAGCAGAGGTGTAAATCTGAGTGCCCCACTTTGAGGCAGCCAGGAGGAAATAGCCGAGCACCCAGAGCTTATCTGATCCGTGCTGGGATCCCCGCAGAACCAGCCCCGTCCAGTTCAGTCGGATGTTTTGGGGTGAGGCTGTTTTGGGGTGAGGCATGGTGGTAACCTGGCAGGAGGCAGGTTTCGTGGAGCGGTGTGCCAGGAGGAGGAGGCTCTGCTGGCAGTGCCAGCCCCAAATACCCACGGAAAGGAGGCTGGTAATGGGATGGAGGCATTTGGGAGGAAGCTCTTTGGGGTGGTGGTCAGCGTGTAATTAAACTGCCTGTAGTAAATAAGCACAAACTCTGAGAATGATGGGGGCACCAGCACATAAAGCCTTCCTCTCCACAGCTTATAAACCTCTGACTAAAGCTTTCTCCCTTCTTTTTACTTAATTTTCTGCCTTTATCCACTGTATTGCAGTTCACACACCCACCACGTGCTCCCAGCTCCTCTCGCCTTCCCCATCAGCCAGTGACCCGACTGAGAAGCCCAAGCCTTGTCCACCCTGTGCTCAGACTGAGCTCAGGCCACCTTAGCTCTCCTCTGAGCACCTGCATCTATTGATTAAAACATTAGGAGGAACGTCAGCTTGGAAGCGGCGCATTTGATCAGCCAGTTATTTTAACAGAAAAAGCAGTGATTTGAGGTAGGTGAGAAACCGTGAGAAAGCTGCTGCTTTCTGGCGTGCTGGAGAGAGCTTGGAGCACACCAGGGCTTTGTTCACAACAACATCTCCTGGCTTTGGGCTGTGTGTCTCATCCCAGGCGGGCTGTGCTGCCTGCAGCCTTGCAGCAGGACATCAGCACAAAGGGATGCTCGGTGAGGCTGCTGAAAACCAGGCTCCTGCCCCATGTGCCCCACACCTCGGTGCAAACATCTGCTCTGAATTTTGCTCTGTATAAACTCAGGAGAACAGCATTTTGCTGTGCTCCTGTGCTGATGCCACCCTGCTGTGCTGGCATTAGGCGTAGCGTGGGTATTTTTAGCAAACTGAAGTGCTGTGAGCCTGCTCCTGCAGGAACGCTTTTGCTTCCTACAGGGTTTGGAGGCTGTGCCGTGGCGTTGGACGGCTGGGTCGGAGGCAGGTGATGGCTCTTGCTTGGTGCAGATGGCGAGGAAGAGAGGGGAGGGGGCAGGACAGTGAGCACATCCTCCCCTTTGGTCTCCCCATCCTGTTTGCTTGCCCTGGTGTCAAACATCTGGCTGTGAGCTCAGCCAAATTCCTGCTGCGGGGCTGCGGCTGGAGCCCTTCCAGCTCCTTGCGCCGTGCCTGGAGGCTGCCAGGGTGGGCAGAGCCGATGTCAGACCGACCTGGGAGGAAGAGATGGGTAATGCAAGGCCTGTAACTCCCTTTGTGTGAGGAAAAGTGAGTGTGAACCCTGTGTATTAGTCACACTCTGCTCCTTGCCTCCAGCAGCAGCAGCCTTCACTTGCCATGGTTAATTGCCATGTGTTGTCACATCGACCTGCGTTACCTCTCCGAAAGCTCAGCCTGGGCTTCCAGGCTGCTTGCCCTTGGGAAGGAGTTTCTCCTGGCTTTCATTAAGCTGGAGGTAAGGCCAGGTGGCCTCATCCTGGAAGTCTGGACTCGGGGAAGACCTCCTTGGAGCTGGTTTGGTTTGGCCACGCTCACAGCACAGGATTTATTCTCTTATATCCCAGCAGTTTCTCGTGCTGCAGCTGCTGATGCTCAGAGCGCACGGCGAGCGGCTGCCGGAGAGGCTTTGTGCTGCTGGTTTCAGTGGTGCTCTTGGCCCTCTCTCTGGGTTTCGTGGCCAGCCAGGGATGCTGCCACTCTCCAGAAACACCACGGCGCTCGCGTGCGTGCCTGCATTTGAGAAAGCTTATCGCCAACTGACCTAATTATTATAATCTCGCTCTTCCCTAGTTAGCGCAGGTTTCCTTGGCTCTCACGAGGCTTCCCCAGTCCCTCCGAGCTGCGCTTTGATTTCTCATCTCTCTTTTAATAACGCAGCTCATTCACTCAAGCTCTGCAAGCCAGGGAATCAGATTTGCAGCCAGACACGGTGAAGTACCCGTGAATTGCCTTTCCTGGCCCTGCTGGCCGTCCTGCTGTGGTTCAGCTGCACCTCGGCACCTCGCTGGGCTGCCCGTGCCCAACCTTCCAGGCAGCCCCCTGCCTTCGTGTGCCTCTGCTCCTGCTCTTCACCACAACCCCGTCCTCATCCCCCTGCCCCAAACCATACATCTTCATCATGGAAATCCTCTCTCTGCCCACATTATGGGTAAAAATTGTGTCTTTTTAACAGCAGCTTCAGCACGGATGAACAAAACGAAGCCTGCAAGAAATAAGGGAAAAAAAAAAACACAAACAAAACATTGCATCTTGGGGTGAGTTCTTTTCACCCATAAATGTCTGAAAACTGGAGCAGCTGGGTGTTCCCCCGTGAGGCCTGACACCCAGCAGCAGCTGCCTGGCAGGCAGTAACCACTTATCACCTGGTGCCTCTTGCAGGGGCAGAGCTTACCGCTAAGCTCCCGTGTTAAGGCACCTGATGGGATCAGCAGAGGTTAGCAGAGGGCCTGAAAAACAGCAAGTCAGCACCGTTGTCCTGAAAACTTATTTTTTTTTTTTTTTTTTACCCCTGTTGTCCTCTTTGATACCCAGTTTGGCTTGTTTTGCTGTGAAAGGGGTCGGAGGAGCGGCGTGGAGGCATCAGCAGGGCTTTATCCGTGTTGGGGTTTCCGCAGCCATCTGGGTTATCTGGTGCAAGGTTTGGCAGTCTCTGCAGGGTAAATATTTTCTAGTCGGGTGGGGCAGCCCCTGTCGGAGCTTTTAGAAGCTGAACCAAAAACACTGCTGGGAGCAGAAAGCCCCAAAAATTTGGCCCAGGAGGGTCCCCGGCATCGCCACCACGCCGCGTAGCCGGGTCTGTGCGCTCTCCTGCCCTTTGAGGGGGAATGTGGGTGTTCCCATTTCCCTCTTATTTAAAAAAATGACATATTTGGTGCATGCCTGAGGTTCCTGCAAGTTCCTAACTGCTACCACATGCTCTGAATGACATCTTCTGTGCTGGTGCACTGCTCTGCCCTGTGTGCTGGGGGCTGGTGGGACCCCAAGGGGTACCCCAAGCACCTCAGGTGTTCCGAGTGCTCCTAAACATCTGCCCATAGAAAAAAAAATAGGTGGTGGTGGCTGTTTTTAAATTGCTTAGCCCGTAGAAAAACTATGGTAACAAAGAAGTCTGTGAGGAACAGGAGGGTTTAATTGCAGTCGGTCAGGATGGAGCTGTTTGATTCCATTAAAGCAGGAAACCAAATAACGTCACGTCGAAGATGCTTCACCCAGTCCAAAGCAAAATGTTATTTTTTTTTTTTCACACCATTAAATGGAAAGCCGTGGAAACTTTGCGTATATCACTGTGAAACAAAAGCAGAAATCCTTTGTTTAAAAATACCAAACCCTGCAGAAAGAAAGAACTCTTTCCAACATTTTCTTCCCAGCGCTCTGGCTGAAATGACTTGACCAAAACTATTTAAAAGCCACCAAGCCAAATCCGGGTTGCTGGCAAGCAAGCGGTGGTGGTGTTTTGTTTTTTTTTTTTCCCTTCTCTGGCTCTGTGCCATTAAATTATGTCTGATCATTGCAATGTGACCATCAGAGGCTGCGTGGCTTCCAGGTGCTGACTTGCTGGGAACGGGTTAAGCTGGGCTGATGGCTTCAGCTTTTTTTGCTTCTGCAAAACCTTGTCCCACGCTGGAGGAGAGGAGCTGTGGAGGCTGAACCCTGCAGCACGGCTGGTTTTGGGGTCCTGCCCTGTCCTGTCCTCATTCCTTGGCCATCTTGGGTAGGGTAAGTCAAGGTCTGCTGCTCGGTGCCAGGTTTCACCTCTCTTTCCTGGCGCAGCAGGCTATGGAAAACCTCAATGGGAATTGAAGTTTTTCCCCGTGTTTTTCGTGCCATCCAGTGTGCCTGGCACTGCTTCACCCATGCTATCTGTTAGCATCATTCCT